GCTGCGGAAGCAATTCCTTGTCCGCGCCGCTCGCTGGCGACCCAAAAGGCGCCCCTGCGCGCGCGGCCGCGGGACGCAACCACGCCCAGATGCGTCGCTTCCGTTTGGAGGACGGAGAGGGGGGACACGCAGGGGCCCCAATCCGACCAACCCAACAGTCCCGAGGCTCAAGAGGTCGCGCAAGAACGAGGAGAAGGGGCGGAGGGCGCCCGTGCCTTTTCGCATCGTGCGCGCTACTCGGGACGTAGCACCTCGTATGGCGCGTCGTGCATCTAGTCCTTTTGCCCGTGCCGCATGCCGCATTCGACGGCATAACCTTGGCGGTCGCTCTGCGGGAATCTAATGTACGGTCGTACTGTCATACATCGTACGAGTCGAGACAGCGATCACATGTAGGTGTTGTGCTCGACCAAGTACTCCGAAAAATGAATGAACTGCCAATGCGGCTCAAGTTTGGCCGGTCTCACCTTGTCGCTGCGTCTTCCCACGAATGAAGTATCGGGCGACGTCGCCCTCGTTCCCGCGCCGCGGGAGAAAGGGCATGGGGTTCGACGGGGGGCTGGTTTGTAGCATCGTGCATCTGCCCAGCGGATTGGTAGCGTTTGTTCGCGCGGAACCAATACGACGCAGTCGTTAGAACCCTTGTCCAATGTGACCTGGACCGTGCTACCGGCAGCGATTTGTGATGTCTCCCCTCGAAAATCTGCTCGTGGCCCTTGCTGTTCAGCTCGTCGCCCTAAAAGCTATGCGGGAGGCTCTCGTCGTTCTGCTTGCGGCCCGCGCAGCTCAGTGCATGGCCCGCGTAGCTCAGCAGGTGGGCCTCGTAGCTGGGCTGGTGGCTCTCGAAGGTCTGCTCGTGGCCGTTGTAGTCCATCTCGTCGCCCTAATAGCTCTGCGGGAGACTCTCGTCGTTCTGTTTGTGGCCCGCGTAGTTCAGGTTGTGGCCCTCATAGCTCCTCAGGCGGCCCTCGAAGCTGGGCTGGTGGTTCTCGAAAGTCTGCCCGTGGCCTTTGTAGTCCAGCTCGTCGTCCTGGTAGCTCTGCGGGTTTCTCGTGGTTTTGCTTGTGAAGGCGCAGCACAGGTTGTGGCCCCTACAGCTCAGCAGGTAGCCTTCGCAGCTGGGCTGGTGGCTCTCGAAGGTCTGCTCGTGGACCTAGCTCTTCTGGTGGCTGTAGTAGCTGTACTTGTGGTCCACGTAGCCCACCTCGTGGTCCTAGAAGGTCCGCCAGTGGCCCTGATTGCGCTGCTGTTGTTTGTGATAGGTTTGCGTGTTGCGCGCGAAGCACATCTGGTGCCTCCGGTAGCTCAGCTGGTGGTCCTCGTAGCTCTGCTTGTGGCCCTCGTAGCTCAGCTGGTGGCCTTCGTGGTTCAGATGGTGGTCCTCGTAGCTCTGCTCGTGGCCCTCGTAGCTCAGCTGGTGGCCCTCGTGGTTCAGACGGTGGTCCTCGTAGCCCTGCTTGATGAGCTTGCAGCCCTCGTGGCTCCGCTGGTGGTTATCGTCGCCCTGCTTATGGCCTTCGAAGCTGAGCTGGCGGCCCTCATAGTTCTGACGGTGGCTCTCGTCGCTGTGCCTATGGTCATCGTAGCTCAGGCTGTCGTGCTCGGAAACCTGCTGGTGGCCCTGGTAACTCTGCTGGTGGCTGTAGTGCTCAGGTTGTGGCCCTCGTAGCGTGGCTCGGTCCGTGGCCCCCGAAGCTCTGCTCGCGGCCCTCGTAGCTTAGCTGGTGGCTCCGGTAGATCGCCGAGTGGCCCTCGCAGCTCTGCTCGTGGCCCTCGTAGCTCAGCTGGTGGCCGTCGTGGCTCAGCTGGTGGTCCTCGTGGCCCCGCTTGTGGCTCTCGAAGCACTGGTTGCCCTCGTGGCACGACTGGTTGCCCTCGAAGTTCTTCAGGATGTCGTCGTGCCTCAGCTGGTCCTCGGATATCCGCTGGCCTTCGCTGCGGAGTTTAGATGCCCGCCTCGTACTCTGACTCCTGGCCCAGGAAATGGTTGACAAGCACGTCCGCCTGCACGTCCTTCTGCACGTCGGGGTCCAGCGCGCGGCATTCGTCACCAACGACCACCGCTTTTGCCTCTACGTGGTCCACGAGGTCCCGTGCAGGAGATCGTACTGGCTTCGTGCAGGTAGCTCCGCAGATAACCCTGGTACTGGACGCTTAGCTGGTGGTGCTAGAAGCTTTGCTGGTGGCCCTCGCAGCTCTTTGGGTGGCTGTCGTCGCGTAGCAGTTTGCCCTGATAGCTCTGCCTGTGGTTCTCGTAGCTCTGTTCGTGGTCCTCGTAGCTCTGGTGGCAGGGTGAGGTAACCGTATCCGGCGTAAGCGGCGTAGCCGTGGTCCACGGGTATCTCCACGACGATGTACGTAGTACCCCCCCTCGGGCGGCTCGGTCGTGTCGTGTCTGGTGTCGCACCTTGCGTTGCCGTGCTGTGTGTCGTACTTGGTGTCGTGCTTTGTGTCGTAGCTGCTGTCGTAACCTGGACACCCTCGCGAATGCGGCCGTGGCATGGTATCGTCGGATCGACCGTTGTGCCCCACTTGACGTTGGGCCGCGTCTGCTCGAGCCCTGGAACTTGTCTGCGCCTATGGTCTTGGCATTCTTGCCGGCGGGTATCCAGCATGGTAGGCCGCTTCCGCAGCCCTCGGCGAAGTCAGGGCGGAAGATGTTCGCCCCGTGATTCAGCGGTTGGCGGTTCAAGCTGTAATAGAGGCTAATCACCCTATCCGGGGATCTTCTGACCCGGGTCAATCCAGACCCGGGTCAGTCAAGCCTTGCAGAACCCGGCAAGATCCTGCAAGATCCTGCACCCAAACCCGGGTCAATGCCACCCTGGCCCTGCAGGATCCTGCAAGATCGGGCGCTCTGGCTGACCCCCGTTTGCATTGACCCCCGTCTCGAGGCTCCCGACCTATCCTGGATGTTCACCCGCCGGTGGATGATGTTGCAGTCGCGGCGGATCACCTTCTCGTGGCACGCGCGCCGCCTGCCTCCGATGGCGCAGCGGCGCGCTGAGGTTGGCCCCCGCGGGGGCGGCCGCGCGGGCAGGCCACGGCGCCAGGGGCGAGCGCGGGGGCTAGAGCGCCAGCAAACGGCCTTCCTTCTTCTCCTCCTGGTCCTCCTCTGCCTGCTCCTCCTCCTCCTCCTCCGCCTCATCCTCCTGCGCCTCGCACCCCTCTGCGTCGTCCTTCTCCGTCTCTGTCTCGTCGTCGTCGTTCTCGCCAGGACCCGACCAGTCTGCCAAGATGACCACTGTGGCGTATGCGACCGCGCCTGCCGGCGCCGTCGTCGCCACCCCTCCCAAATGAGGCGCGCCGCAAACCGTGCCCACGGTGCCTAGTGGCGACTGGCGCTAGGGCACGAAATGTGTGCGGGTGCTCCAAGGCCAGTGACGAATTGCATACGGCAATCACACCCACTGGCGTCACAGGCAGTTGGAACGCCGGTGCATCGCCGGGAAGCCCGCGATAGCGAAACATTCGGCTCATGGGCAACGAACGGGCGATCGTTGGGCCGACGTTTCCCAACTGAGCCTGTCCCCCAGCGGCGCGCGGGGGGTGGGGGGGTTGAAGAAGGGCAGGAGGCAGAAGAGAGAATAAAGCAGCAGGAGTGGATGACTGGGAGGAGTAGGAGGAGGAGGAGGAGAAGGAGGAGGAGGAGGAGGAGGAGGAGAAGGAATGGGGGAGGAAGGGCAGGAAGAGAATGAGGAGGGGGAGGAGGCATGAGAACGGGAAGGGGGAGGAGGGGCGAGGAGGACGAGGAGAGCCCCCCCCGCGGAGGGGGGAGGGGGTGAGAGCACGAGAAGCAGTTGAATGGGGGCACCTCTCCTGGCTCGCTGCGATCGTGGACGGCGAAACCTGCTGTGCTCAGCATGCGCATGGGCCTCGGAGACCCGCCGGGATAGCACGGGCGGAGCGGCGCGTGACACTTGGGCTGCATGGGAGGCTCCCTGCCTCGTCGCGGCGGTTTCGCCGTATGCGGCTGCACTCCTGGCAACCAATGGAGGAGGAGGAGGAGGAGGAGGAGGAGGAGGAGGAGGAGGAGGAGGAGGAGGAGGAGGAGGAGGAGGAGGAGGAGGAGGGGTGCGCTTCTCGCCTGGCCGGCACGCTGGGCGCCACGGGCCCCAGGCCCGCCGAGCGCAGGGCTTGAGGCGGCGAGAAAAATGGAGAGGCGGAACAACACAAGGACGCGAACGAAGAGGACGAGGATTAAGAAAAGGACGCGCCGACGAAGAGGACGAGCCGGAGAGGGGAGAGCGCGCGGAGGAGGACGCGAAGGAGGAGGACAAGGCGGAGGGGCAAGGGCCCGCGAAAGAGGAAACGAAGGAGGAGGACAAGCCAGAGGAGGAAGGGCCCGCGAAGCGAACAAGGACGCGAGCGTCCATCTGTCTCGATTCTTGCCCATCCTCCTCCTCCTCCTCCTCCCCCTTCCTCCTCCTCCTCCTCCTCCTCCTCCTCCCCGTCCTCCTCCTCCTCACACCCCCTCCTCCATCCTCCTCCTCCTCCGTTACCTCCTCCTCCTCCTCCTCCTCCTCCTCCTCCTCCTCCCCCTCCTACCCCTCCTCCTCCTCCTCCTCCTTCTCCTCCTCCTCCCTTTCCCGGAACTCTGGGCCACCTCCTGAAGGACCGGATCCTCGTCCCGGAACTCTTTCTGACGGCCGGGGGGCCCGGCGAGAGCTCCTAGAGACGAACACTTGCGACCAAAAAGCTCCGTGCTGATTTGTCAATGCGTTGGAGGTCTGGGGGCGGGGACGAGGAGGAGCGAAGGACGACGAGGCGACGATTCGGGAGGACGACGCGCCGAGCTCCGCGTTGAAGAACATCGCCAGGAGGATGGAGGAGGAAGGAGGAGGAGGAGGAGGAGGAGGAAGGAGAAGGAAGGAGGAGGAAAGAAGGAG